CTAGAAGCAGGTCTATTTGTAATGGATCAACTAATGCGGCCATGCAGGAACTCACCGAAGTAGATACTTTGACTTAGGCTGGCCAGAACATAGGGCATAGATGAGCCTGAGGCCGTTGTTATAGAGAGCTAGCCGGTCGGTTGGGTCGGCGGCGCTTGTTGGTGTGAGTGAAGGTAGGCCGGAGCAGGCGGAGTCGAAGGAACCGTTTGCTGCGGCTGCACTTGTCATCAGAGCCGCAGAAGAAGGCGTGACACCGGTCGTAAATGTTGGAAAAAAAGTCGAGCAATAGGCAGAATCACGCATACTTACGCTGCGACGCGGCAGAGAGACTGCTGGCCGTGATTTATCAGGTGAAGCAGGAAGCAAGAGGATAGTAGAGTCTGTGGGAGAGGATGCTGTAGCCTGGGAACGCTGTTGGCATAGCAGCTTGCGACGAAGGCTTATTTCTGCGTCAGACAGGCTGGTCGTGGCATCCATCAGCAAAATAACAGTCTTTTCGAAAAGCACAGAGAGGGGCTTGAACAAATCGACTAGTGCAGAGAGAATGCCAGTAGAGTCAAGACTACTCGCAGAGCGCAGGGAGTGGGATCGCGTCACCTTGGCAGAAGAAGACCGAAACGACAAAAATATGAATGAAATTATGCTAATTGATTATTCCAAGATTTTACTTAAAATGTCTGAGAATGTTTGACTGAAGGAAAGGCCTTTGAAACTAAATATAACTTTAAAGTGTTGGTTCGACCTTTTTTTCGCAACTTGGTCGGAGCGTCAAGGAGACATTGTGGAACGTACATAGCCGTATATATAATCTAAATATAACTTTTATTGAGGATAAAATGGTTTTTTAGAAAGCATAGTTTAGATACTTAGAAGAAAGGAATACTTTTGATACCAAATCTTCCTGCACCTGGCATCATAGAAATTGAAAAAATTTCTTAATTTGCATACTTAACAAGATCAGCTAAATCGTGGACAAAGGTAAGCTGGCCTCTGTTCAAAAGCGTAGATTAAAAGAGCCAAAAAAATTCGAGTTTGTCAATATAAAATCATTCTTTTTTCCAATCATAGTCCGAAGTCCATCATATGCATAATCATTTCCAGACATTTCGCCGGCATCGTCAGTGAGCCTTGTCAATCCTAGCCCCACACTAAAACACGTCAGAGAGACGAATGAAGTCGATCCTTTGACCAAATTTGTGCTAAACAGTTGCGCTATCTTTCCTTCAGTCCTGGCTAGTCACCTATCCTATATCCTCGTATCACCCCTTAAATATCACAATTTTTTACTTATTTATCTAGAGCTATTTGAAGCCTATTCACACTCCCTGCTAGTTCCCAACATCTCCAACAACTGTGCCGGAAGTGCTGATCCAAGGCTGCAATTTAATCCGCAATCCTCTCTCTCCGAGTCCTATCAGAGTCCCCTTCATGCTCCGTAGGATGCTTTCCTTATCTGCCTGTTTCAGTGACTTCACTCCATCGCTGCCACCGTACCCGTAAGAGATTGTTCTACACTCTTCCGCAAGCCTTTGCTAGCACGTATACACCACCCTGACTAAGCAAGCCCCTAACATTTTGATTCTCAACTGGCATGGCAACTTAACTTGACACTGCAGATTCCCTTGACGCTGTGCGGCATGTGCACTGGGTAAATCTCGTCGTCAAGCTTTTACTTCATGGACCACATCTATGAGCAAACTTATCTACTGACAGCCAACTAGAAATGGTCACTACCGTTTATTTCGCTCTTATATGACAATCTATTGCGCACCAACCCCCAAATGTGATGGTCCTAAATTATTTGAATAGGCCACAAAAAATAGGGGCGAGGAGTGATGTCAGAACGGTTGAACAGAAAATTGGCCAAAGGGATTGCATTCACTTGTCACTTTTATAGGTTGTAACTCTGTGCTTGTGATGGTGCCTTTTACTGACGATGCCGACTAGGATGCTGGCAAAACATTTGGAAATGTATCAAGTCAATGGTACAACTCTGGAAATCACGAATACTATGACAGAGGACACAGAACTAGTTACGTTCAACAAGGTCCAGCTGACGAGCTGACCAAGTTGTGAAAACAGGGTCAAACCAATATTATAAAGCTATATGAGTCTGCGACCAAGTATAAGCCACATCTTGGTCTTTATATCTACGATTTAATAGAAAAAGTTTAATTTGTTACACATTATGGTGCAGGTAAGGGTTTAAGACAATTTCATCTAGGATATTCATGAATGGTTCATTTGGTATCCTATACAAGTTAAAGTTCACAGACCTTTGCTATATCTTGAAAATTAAATAGGAAAATATAGTTAAACCATACATTTAATCAATAATGTCAAAGGTATGAGTAATGAAAATAAGCGAAGGCAGTTGGGATATAATTAGCTCAATAATGAAAAAGGACTAAGGAAAAAACGCATTGTCATATTTCCAGCGAAATATGGTAATACCCGCCAAAAACATTAATGCTATTAAAATTGGTTTGAAGCCAAATCATTTAGTAAAATATTAGCTGCAAGTATAATTATTATATCCGATGGTGAGCAAAATAGTTAACACTTGAAAAATTTCCACTAGGGAATACAAAAGTAACAGATCAGAATGAAAGATATTGTTTATGATAAAAAGCTAAGCATTAAGGAAGATTAAAAGCGCAGAGGTAGGTGCGTATTTAACTAAAAGAAATACTAGAGAGAAATATAAGATATACTTTAGAGGGAAGTTAGATAAATTAGCAATAAGTATTAATTTTATTTACTGAATAAATAAAGCAAGTAAAAGCAATATAAAGAAGAGAAAGAGAAGAAAAGATATTAAAAATAAAAAGGTGCCATCATAACCATTCCAAAACTGGACTTTTGAGAGAAGGAATAGATGAAAAGAGAATAATGAAATAATGTGGAGGGAAAAAGAATTGAATTCAGAGAGAGACAAATTCGGAAAGAGAATAAAACGAGAATTGTAACTTTCAAGAGAGCAAACTATCCATACATGTTAATATGTTGAAAGAGATAAGAGAAATATTATTGTAAAACAGAATGAGAACAATAATAAAAGAGTAGACGAAAGAAAAGTTAAGAAAAAGCGATAAGAAAAAACCCGATAATAACAATAGGTAAGAAAGAAAAAAATGTAGAAATAATTAATGAATGCAGCAGGACGAAGGCTGAATGCGGTTCACCGAGACGTTAATTCTACCTGCGTGGTTAGGGAGAATAAGACAACAAAGCACGGCCGCTATTAACTTACGCGCCGACGCAAAACTCTCTGTCAAAACGAAGAACGACAAGATAAGACAAATCTAAGAGATACATGAACATGAGGTAATTGTGTACTAAACCATCACTAACGATACATGAATAGTACATTTTCAATTTATAATTACAGGAATACCAAATAAAGTAATATTTTTATTACTTGTTCATTAGTATTTAGAATGATCTAGAATCACAATGCGCGGAGGATTAAATGGATTTTAGCTAGTTAATGTAATGTAATTTACCAAAGCAAGCTTAAAACAAAGCCTAAATAATGAGCTAAGAAGCTTTAAAACTGCAATGAATCTTTTGTGGAAATAGTAAAGTATTTGAGTAGAGTTTCGAGACTGCCAGTAAATCAGTAATATGAGAGGTATTCACCAAATTTCATTTAAGGAGATAAAGGACTGGTAGAAGCATTTTCACACAATTATATGAGTAGAGCTGACGTTTTCATTAAAGTTCACATAGCCTTGCTTTCCCAAAAGTTGTTCTCGTCCAGGGGGGACTGCAGTTTCGACCTAGCCTAGGTATTATCAACATCCCCAGCGGAAGTCGAACCATTACAGTGCGACGTGTAATCTAGACACGTTAAGCAGTACGCCAAATTTACACGAGCGCCCTTGGGTCACAGGTCAGACGGGAATTTTAAGGAAGACCATTCATTTTCTCATATCACATTCTTTTGTGAGATTGCGGATGAAGCAAATTTAAATTTGTTATGATAATTGATTACATTTTTTAATTTTCGTTTATAAGTAGGGTTTCAAGACGCCACTAAATTAGTTATATGAAATGTCTCAAAATCCTACTTATAAACGAAAAATAAGCAATGTGGTCGATTTTCATAACAAATATAACTTTGCTTCATTGAAAATCTTAACAGAGAATGTGACATGGGAAATGCCTGACCTTCCTTGATATTTACATATGCCCTGTGATCTAAAGGCACTTTTGGCAGTGTGGCGTATTGGTTAACGTGCCGAGATTACACGTTGCACTGTCATGGTTCGACTCCCGCTAGGGGTGTTGATAAGACCTAGACGAGGTCGAAACTACAATCCACTCTGGATGAAAACACCTCTTGGGAAAGCAAGGCTATGTGAAGTTAAATGAAAGCGTCAGCAATACTCATATCATCGTTGGAAAATTCAACTACCAGTACCTCATTATCTTAAACGAAATAGGGTGAATACATCTGGTAGTCTGTAAGCTCTACTTATAAATAAAAAGAGTATGTCTGAACATGAGAGTAACAAATATTGAACTCCCTTTATTACCTTTGAGATATGCACAGACAAGGGGCACTAAACTTCATAATTTTATGAGTGACCGAATTCCAATCTTCTCTTAACAGAATGTGTTTATCACTCCTTGCATAGCTATGTTGAACAGGAAGAGGCAACTTGTAATTAAAAATATGGCAACAAAAGTGGCCAGCTTAGCTAAAACCTACAGATCTCTTTGCAAGCTGTGCACCCTTGGCCGTTGCAGGCAAGCCAATATCTCCTGACTTTTCTGTTGTTACTGAAGGTCGAATCGAAGAGGTAGTTCCAGGACCCAATCCGGTAGGATCTACATGTGCAACAGGAGCAGTTGAAGACGATGATAAAGTTGTATTGTTACCAAGGCAGTTAGTGGCTGAGGGTGCGGCTGATTGCAGAGACACAGATGAGGATGGATAGGGTTGAATGGACATAAACCGAGGAACTTGTCCGACGTGCAGACAATCTGCCAGATAGGACATTAGTCCAGCAGCAAGAGAGTAATCATCAAGCACCAGCTCCACCTCTTTTTGTCCAGAAGTAACGACAGAGTCTTCTGTTACGGCCAGACTAGGACTAATGTCGCTGCTGGCAGCAAAGTCTGTTGCTGCGAAGGAAAATGTGCAAGTCTCAAAGTCAGTGTGGGGATTCGTTTGACTCCGCATTGCCTCCTCCATTGCAGCAGTTCGCTGACGTGACTCAACACGAGAGGAACGATGCAGTGGTGAGCCAAGATGAGAATTGCTGACAGCGGTAGTGGCTTGTGCATTGTTTGCGGTAGCTTGGGAAGCAGCGGTGGAACCTTCAAGAGTATAGACGCGCTCACTGCGCCAAACGTCAATGTCGCAAAGAAGATCCTCAAAGGCGGGTAAATTTACATACACCGTAGGCTAAAAGAGTAAGAAAAGAAGAGTGGTATGGCCGGGAAATAAAGAAAAAAATAGGTGGGCTAGGCAATCAGACTAAAATAAAAGGCAAAATTTTATGAGCAAGCATAAAAAGGAGCCATAAAATACAGAAAACATGTTCCAACGCAGGCAATTCGTTAATATATAACAAATGGGTATACTAAAAAAACTTTGGTCACTTGAACAATCAAGTCGTAATAGAAAAATTGACTCACGAGCCCAGAGCGAGTTGTAGAAGCCTGTACTGTTGTACTGTGAGTAGC